GGCGCTCCGTCTGGGGGGACCGAGGCCACGCAAGTGTGCGGTCAGCCCTGCGGGAAGGGGCCCCGGCGGGGGGGGGGGGGCAGCCGTTCTGCTCTAGGGGAAGGATTATCTTCTCACCCCCTTTCCACTCTGCAGGAAAGTTGCAAGGAAATATTCGTGTTACAATATTTCATAGTGGCTTAAAAGGGTTAAAATGTTTCTATTGTGTATAAATAGCCCCGGAAAAAACAGCCATGACTGGATTACCTATGATAAAGCTTAAAAAAAGCTTCAGTATTAACATTTGTGACAATTGTTCTTTTAGTAAAGTGCCATGTGTTAAATTTGTTGCAAAAATATCTTTTAAAAAAATACTTGTTGCCGTAAGTTCAAAGTTTAGGTCTCTCAAGAAAAAAATAGTAAATTGCTTTTAATACATGGGCTCCTTTTTTATTCATTTACTTTTTTATTTTCAGTTTAAGCATGGTAATACTTCCTACATGTCTCTATCTCAGCACTTTTTAAAGTGTGCTGTGTCATAGTGGTTGGTTTGCAAACCTCTTGTGCACACACTGAACACCGCGAGGTCAGAGTCTATAGCTTACTCATCTTTTGATTCAGCACCTGTCAGTTCATACTTTTTAAAATAGTTAAATCAGTGTTTTGTTTTAGAAGCTTAAATTTAGGAGTGTACATTTTAATTTTGTGACATTCCTAGTTTTCAGTACAGTAATTTTGAACATGGTAAATCCACTTCCATCAAAGTGTTATTTATGTGGTCGAGACTCACGTGGTCGAGACTGGACAGTGGCCAAGTATTTTTTTAACAAATGATTCCCCTTGGACTTCAGAGGCTGACATAAGACTGATTTCCCAGACCTCTTTTTTAAACAAAATATTTTAATTCATTCTTAGAAACATGTATCAAATTCTACATAAGGTTCAGGTGTATTTCGTGGTGGTGACACCACTGAGGCCTCTCACCTTTGCTTCTGTGGTAGAAGTTCTTGCTCTCCTGCAATGACCCTTTGAGGATCCCACCACTTTGAGAGTCTGTCCCCACCATGAGCAGAACTTCTCAGAACTGTCAGAGGCAGTCCTTGGCGTCTCCCACATGCTGGACAGGCTGGGAGGAGCACAGGACCATTCGGTGCTCTTGAGGATGACCACATCACCCAAAAGGTGGACCAGAGTCAACGAGAGCATCTGAAACGGACAGTCTTAGAACGTTTAAGTGGACTGGCACGGCGAAGAGAATCTAGCTAAACTCTGTCACTTTGCAGATGAGCAGATGAGAGGTTTTAGGAAACGCTGAGGGCCATTTAATTAATTAGTTGAAAGCAAAGCCATCATGTGTAGCTTGGAGCTCTGGAGTCCAAGTTTGGTTCTCTTTCTGCAGTACTGCATTGCTGGAAATTATATCAAAGTCAAACTTGCTTTCTCTTGATTTTCTCCTGACTATTAACAAACGACTGGAGATGGAACCTGGGGCCCGTGTGCTTCAGACGGTCAGGCTGGGAACGCGCCAGGCGGACGCCTGGGGCCCCTTCTGTCGGGGAGCACAAGTGTGGCGAGAGAAGTTCTGTTTAAGCATCTCGATTATCTAAGACAGACAGGTTTTTTAAGGGTTATTTATTGTTTAAAAAACTTCTCCTCTTAAAAAGAAAAATGTTGTAGTTATTTTAGGGAATTGGGATTTAAAAGTCTGACAAGAAGCAGAAATGGAGGGAGAGAACAGAGATGGGACAAATGCAAACCCAGAACACGGAGTCACTGTCGGGCATGTCGACTGGCTCGTCTGCTTCGAGAGGGGCCATCAGAATGACCGTGTGCTCCGAGAAGCCAGCACGCTGCCTTACTCTAGGTTTTCCTCATAGTTTACTTTGCACCCACATTCCTTAAACATGACGTTGTGCGTTGACCATGAAAGGACATGTTTCTCTATAACATGTGTTTAGTAATTTAGTAAGTCACGCACACATGGTTTACTTTGGTCTCTCGTATAATGAAACGTCATCTGCAACTATGACTCAGTCGGCGGGTATGGTCAGAAATCCCACTGGGAGTAAAGACTGTGCCAGGGCCGATGGGTCAGTCATCCTTAAGAACGAGAACCGTGGTAACTTGCTGCGTCTTTCCTGAGACAGCAGTACGCAGGGTGAAGTCAGACACCATGATACGGAAGGAAATGTTGCTAAAGTCACCACCTCTGAGGCCGAAATGCAACCCTGGCGCGTTGTCAGGTGAAGGCACCTGTTCAGCGAAAGCCCTGAGCTCCAGAGCTCGTCAGGGAAGGACTTGTCTTGACGGAAGGGGTTCTGAGGGCTGCAAGGAAAAGCAGGTCTTGTACAAATGCTTGAAAATGGTTGGAATTTAGCTCAAGAGGCGGCCATGGTGAGAAGTCATCCCGGCAGGGACAGGAAAAGGGGAAACGCGGTCCTCGGCATCTGTGTGGAACGGCGCCAGGGCGCTGCTGGCCCAGCACAGAGCAGGACAGGGCCCACGCGGCACCTACAGCTGCAGGCTCGTGGAGCACGTGGAGCCGGCACATAGAACAGGAGGAGCCCTGCAGGACCACGGGCCGTGCGTGTGGGGTCTCGGCCTCCCCTCCCGCAGCTGCAGTTTCTTATGTCTGATACTGCAAACCCCACGCTTCAAGGTTAAAGGAACACAGATTTTTGAACTTTCACAAGAACACATTTTATGTTCTTTCAAAGACTAGCACATGAAGAGGTCTTAACTTTCAAGTAGAAAATGGGTGAGCATCTACTTTTGAAATTTCCAGAGGCATTTGGTTAAAGCCAAGCCCACGTTCTTAACAAGTTTACATGTGAGGTTAGTTTTTAAAACAAAGAAGAAATCCATGCAAATTCATGAACACATTTCATTGATTTTCTGAAAACAAGTCAATGACTAGATTTCTCCAAATGTTGCCTTTTGAGTAATTGAGAGATGATGCCTTTTAATCTTCCTCTGAGCAAAGTCTTCAATGTGGATCTCGTAAAATGCAGCCGCAGTCAATGCGGCATCATTCATCAGGAGCCGAAAAACCACCTTTGCGTTTGTATCATTTTTGAAGCTTTAGGCACATTTCATAATCTACATACTACGTTTGTACATCACGCACAGACCATGAGTTTCTTCCCTCGTGTGTCATGTGTACACAGTTCACAGTCTGCAGACAGATGACGGTATGTCAACAAAGGAAAAGAAGAGGAGGACACGTCTTAACTCTGCACTAAACTGTGGGGCCGATCATCATTCAGGTGATTTGTCTTTTATTTTTAAACAACCTGGGTGCACGGATCTGTGAAGACTTTGCAGCCAGGGCTGCCTAGTTTGTGCTGCACCCGCGGCTGCTCCCAGGGTCCCATTTCCCATCCTCTCCCCTGAAGCAGTCTCTGGAGATGGGGGCCTGTAGACCAAGCCTCTCCCCATATTGCACGGGGTCCTGGGCTCTCTCAGCAGCTCGGCTGTGGCAGGAAAGTCATCCATCCGGTCCCGAGTGGTTTCTGTCTCGTCTCCCCCGCCCGACCTTGCTCTGACATGTGAAGAATGGCTGGTTGAGATGATGTCCTTCTCAGGACTCTGCACTCCCCCATAAGCAGATTCTTGGCGACCAAAATGGTCCCCAGGGAAGGATGCTGGCCATCAGCATGACCACGTCCCCGTGCACAGGCTGGGTTTTGGCTCTTCAGGCTTTCCCTGGATGATCTTTTCTGTCTCTCTGATGTGTAACAGTGACGTATTTATGGGTCGCAGGGAAAAGCCCCTTTCATCCACAAGCTGAGAAGAGCTTCTTTGTGATGACAGCTACCCCATGACACTTCTGGGGAGAAGTTGGCTTGGAATGTGGTGTACATGGAAGATCAGCAGGTGTGCTCAGCTGTGACCACTCGGCTCTCATGTCATTTCCTCCCCCCTTTTCCGTGCGCCTCAGGAAGTCCCCATGTTGGTCTCTGGCCAAGATCACATCGTCAGCGTGGGAGCCTTTTCCATGTGAAAAATGCAGAAGGGTTATACTCTGCATTAAGGAAGATGCAGTTTGCTTTTGCTGAAATGCTTTTGTCCTCTAGACGTACGTGCTTGCATTGTGCTCTCGGAGAGGCTGGTGGACAGGACTAAGGGGTGTCCGAGTGCATCGTCTCACGGAGGAGGAGCTCATGCCACCGGGGCTCCTGGAAAGCTTGTTTTTCCTTAAAAGACGTTGTAACACGTACAAAATGATTGCAGACTAACTTAACACTGCATGTAATGTGGGATAAAGCAGTTTGCAAAGTTATCTTCGAAAGCTGCAGTGTCTAAGCAATGTCTGTGTGCAGTAGTAGTATGCAGTGTCCTCGCACCAGGACCCGGATGCCGGCTCCACGTCTCACTGGTCTGAAGGGAGCAAACGCCTAGCAGCCCACATGTACATTTATATTCCAAGGGCAAGTTCATATTATTTGTCTGGGAGTTTATGCCCACTAAATACTGAGGGTAAAAATGTATTTCTCTGTACTTAACCCTTTATCCAAATTAAGAATGGCTCAGTAACTATTAGGTGAAAATGTGATTTCCAAAACATTGTTTCTGTTGTCTTTCTGGTGCAGAATAACAACCAGAGATTATATTCTGTTTCAAAATAATTTTCCTCTGCATCTCTGATAAATGGGGCTGTTAAGTGTACTTGCTAGGCAGATTTGTCCACTTATCAGGTGAATGTTAAAACACTGACCTGCTTCAGGAGGGACGAGGTACGTGGACTTCCTCCATGACCACAAAGGTGCTGGTTCAAAGCCATGCGGTACAAGGTTGGCATTAGTTACACGCTGTTTTCACACAATTCCTAACAATATGTGAAGCAAAACAGGGGAATGGGAATCAAACATCTTGGGTCTTAAGCCAGGCTCTGTCTTTAATGAGCTGGGTTAATCCAGGCAGCTGTCATCACCTTTTTCCTTGGACCCCCATCCATGCCAAGTGCACGTGTGCTGGTGACTGAAATGACCACACAGTGGAGGCTGAAGGTAAGTCAGTGTGTTTGCAGGTTAAATTCCATGAGAAAGACAGAAAACAGAGACGTGGCTGCCTCGGCCTGGAGGGCTGGGGAGGGAGGGTGTTTGGTTTCTTTTTGAAGTGATCAAATGGTCAAAAGTTGGTTACAGCAATGGCTGCATGTTGCTACACTCAAAAACACTGACTTTAACATGTTAAGGATTGTATAGGATGCAAATTGTATGTCAATAAAATGATTACAAAAATTATATTTAGATTTTAAGCATTCAACAAAGGTGTCACTACTTTTCAAATGTAGTATATAAGCTATAATCCTCATTTCCCAGGTCTTTGTGGGGATTTTCTCACATGATCTCTGCTGTCTGAGGTCTGCTTGGTGTGAATGGCTCTGCTTCTCTCCGCACCTGTATTAAGTTCAGACTCATCCGTGTCTTCTTCCTCGCTTTCAAATGTTATTCATCATCTTTTGTTATAAATAGGCCATAAAATTATAATCTATCAGCTAAGTATAATTCTTTTCTCTGTTTTGCTTTTTTTGGTCTGAAGACAAAGACAGGGATTTGTTTGCTGCAGGATGGTAATCAGGAGCCCTTCAAAGTGCGGCTGCACCTGGCCAAGGATATTCTGATGATCCAGGAACAGGATGTGATATGTGTGTCTGGTGAGCCTTTCTATTCTGGTGTAAGTAGCTTTTCCTTCCCTTGAAGTTTTTTGGTTTTGTTTTTTGTTAATAAAAATGTTCATTACAGAAAATTCTTAATATTTTTTCTCTTGCTTTCAGAGCCAGTAATTTTTGTGTACAGTGTTAGTAAGCAGTGTCTTTGTACTTGTCCTTGTCCTTGTCCTTATAAGGATGCAGGCTTGGGCCCACAGGCACCCATTGGGGCCATTGATGAATCACTGACTCCGAGTCATTATCATGTGACTGGAGTGACCCTGTATCTCTGATCATGAGAGAGTGGGCTCCACCCGTCCACATGGAGGACTGAGTGAGAACAGTGCCCTGCCCTGATCTCATTTTGAATCATACCAGACCTTCAGAAGTGGTGCAAAGGTGGGCCCAGTGTGGCATCTGGGAAGCCGGGGGCTTTAGGTGGTGGTCCCTAAGCTCAGTGTCAGGGCTTCTCCTTGGGGGATGGGGCACAAGCAGTTCTGGGGACTTCGAGAAGCATGCCTAGGTTATCGTGAGCTCTGTCTGCTGCTCTAACCCAGTCTCTGAAAGAGCCATAAATTATCTCACAGCTCATCAGTCCGCTCACTGGTGCTGCAGGACCACTCTGGAGGACATCCTTAGGTGTGTGAAATAATGAAATTTCAACTGAGGAAATGGAATGCTCTAATTAGCTTTATTCAGTGATTCATGAATCAGGCACATCCCATCTGGCAAATAGAAAAGAGCTCTGGCAAGCTGTAGAAAAGAAGAGTTTTTCAAAGGCAGAAAGGGGCAGAAAGAGGAAGTTATTAGCAAAGAATGCCTTCTTTCAGGGGAGGTGGTCCTCCCAAGGGCAGCCAACGGGCCCATGGGAAGAGGACTACTCACTAGTGCTGACCAGGGAATCCCAGGGCGGCTGGTAAAAGGTCATAGCTTTGAGAGAGGCTGAAACTGCAATTAGGTTAAGTGTTAAGTTTTGATCCGGTGACATGGACTTAGCACAAGTGACTCCATTTGGGGCCGGTTGTCTCTTTTTCAATGGGTGAAGTTAGATTGTCTTTGGCAAAACAATTTTATCATGAAACAGGATAAGTTTTAGAGTTTATCATTTATTATGTAATAACGTTAAAGACATCATCTTAACAGTATAGTCATGTATGGTCTCAGAAGAAAATTACAGCAAGTGTCATACAATCAGCTCCCTGGATTCCCTAGACATCTGTAGCGACTTAGCAGGAAGATTTAATTTGCAGCTTATTAACAGACTTACTTTGCAGTGTTTTGTTAGGGTGAATAATGCTGAACTTGACTTTCCACCTCACTTCTCACTAACATCCTGTGGGAGTCACATCAGGTCCTAAGTCAATAGGCTCTGGCTAACTAAAGATAATGGACATTTTGCAGACTGTTAACTATTCTTTTGTCACAGACCATTTAAATCATCCTGAATGACGGGTCTGGCTGTCAAGACTGATTACATTGTTCCCTTGAGGTTGCCCTTTCTTTCTTTAGTTAATAAAAGCATAGTGATCAATTTCTTTCTCTTTCTTTCTTTCTTTCTTTCTTTCTTTCTTTTCTTTTCTTTGTGAAGAGATATAATTTATATCACTGTCTAGAATGAGTATATCACATAGATCCTAAATCAGTAAAATATTGTAATTTGTAAAATTCAGTATTTCAACCCTGAAATAACGTTCTTGATGTTAAATTTTGCAGTCAAAAGAGCTAATACGCATAGACCTAAGCTCTCTTTTGAAACAAATGCTGGGAAGAACTCAGACAGAATTGAGAAGAAATGTTTTATGATAATGTCATCAAGTGCAAAAAAGCAGTTGACAAAATTTGACACTCACACAAAACACTTTCAGCAAAGTAAGAATAGGATGGAACCTCTTACACTGATAAAGCATCTAATGAAGATTTCTCACCAACATTATGGTTAACATTGAGCGTATTCTCTGAGGTTGAAAGTAAGTCAGGGGTTGGGGGAGAGAGAAGATGGTGGAGTAGAAGGACACTCGTAGCTCACCCTCTCCCACAAAGGCACCAAGACTCACATCCACAGACCCACTCAGCCAACCAGAGCACCTGTGGAACTCCAACAGAACATCGCCCTCTTCAAAAGATAGAGATGCCGAAAGTAAGTCAGGGTCATCACTTGCCTCATTTATACTCAATATTGTTTTGGTTGTAGAGCAGGGCAGGAAATGGATTAAAATGGCATAACTATTCAAAGGAAAAGAGGTAGAACAGCTTGTTTTTAGATGTCATGACGGTGTACACAGAAAATCCTGAGAAATCTACAACAAAATTGAATAACATACAAGTTTAGCGAGGTTGCTGGAAATAAAGATGATGTCCAAAGTTAATTGCATTTCTAAATTTTACAACAGGCAAATAAAATGCAATTCACAATACACAATAGAGATTATACACTTGGAAATAAGTTTAACAAAATATGTACAAAACTTCTATCTTAAAAACTACAAAACTGTGATGAAGAAAATGAAAATAAATAAACAAATAAATGAAGAGATATAACATGACCATGAATTAAAGACTAACTATTGGTAAGTTTTCATATCTTCCCAAGTAGACAGCATCAGTCAAAACCCAAATTTGTTTCTGGAGACTTTGACAGGTTGACTCTAAAATTTACATGGAATACAAAGGACTCAGTTTGGCCACATAGTCTTGAATAAAGAGAACAAAGCTGGAGCGTTTATACCTTCTGATTTCAGAACCTACTGCACTGTTACAATAATGAACACAATGTGATATGTCATAAACACGTGTATGTAAACCAATGGAACATTATAGAGTCCAGAAAGTGGTCAATTGCTTTTTGTTGTTGTGGTGGTGGACTACACATAACATATACTTGACCATTTTAACAGTTGTTAAGTGTAGAGTTCAGTGGCTTGAGCACATCCACATTGTTGTGCACCTTTTACAGCGATCCGTCCCCAAAATCATCACCCCAGACAGAAACCCTGTTCCTATTAAATACTAACTCCCCACGTCCCCCTCTCCTCAGCCCCTGGTGACCACTGTCTACTTCCTGTCTCTGTGTATGGACTCGTTCATCCACGTTGTAGCCTGTGTCAGCATTTCATTCCTTTGTAAGACTGAATGGTAGTCCGTTACATCTATCTGCCATGGTTTTTTTTAATCCCATATCAGATACGTGATCTGCAAATATTTCTTCCAACCTAAGAGTTGCCTTTTTATTCTGTTCATGGTTTCCTTTGATGCACAAAACTTTTCCATTTTGAAGTCCAGTTTGTCTATTTTCCTTTTGTTGGCTGTATTTTTTGTGTTATATCCAAGAAACCATTGTCAAATCCAGTATCGTAAATATTGTTTCCTATATTTTCTTCTAATATTTTCTAGTATTAGAGCTTACATGTATGTTTTTGATCCATTTTGAGTTAGCTTTGGTATATGATGTCATTAAGGGTCCAACCTCTTTCTTTTCCAAGTGGATATCCAGTTTTCCTGGCACCTTTTGTGTCTTGGAACTCTTGCTGAAAATCATTCGCCCATATATTTGAGGTTTCATTTCTGGGCTCTCTATTCTATTCCATTCTATTCCATGTCTGTCTTTATGTCAGTACCACAGTTTTGATTACTGTAGGTCTGTGGTGAAATTTGAAATCAGAAAGTGCATGATGTCTAGCTTTGTTCTTTTTCAAGAATGTCTTAGCTAATTGGATTTTATTAAGATTCCATGTGTATTTTAGGATAGACTTTTCTATTTCTGTAAAAAGTGACATTAGAATTTTGTTAGGAATATTATTGAATTTGTAGTATGCTTTGGATAGTGTTGACAGCTTAGCATTATTAACCTTTCAATCCATGAACACAGAGTGTTTTTTTATTTGTTTATGTCTTTAATTTCCTTCAGTAATGTTTGTGATTTTTAGTGTACATCTTTCATCTTCTTAGTTAATTCCTAGATAATTTATTTCTGATGCTATTATATATGGAATTATTTTCTTAATTTTCTTTCCAGATTATACATTGTTAGTGTATACAAATGAAACTTATTTTGTGTGTCCACTTTGTATCCTGCTACTTTGCTGAATTCTTTTTTTTCACTTCTAATGATTTTTGTATATCTGTGTATAATCTTTAGATCTTCTACGTATAAGAAATGTCATCTGTGAACAGATATAATTTTACTTCTTCCTTTCCAATTCAGATACCTTTGTTTCTTTTTCTTGCCTAATCAATCTGCCTAGGATTTCCAGAACCAAATTTAACAGAGGTAGTGAAAGCAGGCATCCTTGCCTTTTCTAGATCTTAGAGAAAAATATTTAATTCCTTCGTCTTTGATTATAATCTAACCTGTGACTTTTTGATATATGGTCTTTATTATTTTGAGGTAGTTTTTTTCTATTTCTAGTTTGTTCAGTGTTGAAAGGGTGTTAAATTTTGTCACAAAAGGGTTTTGAATTTGTCAAGTGCTTTTTTTGCATCAGTTGAGCTATGTGTGTTTATTTTCCTTTATCCTGTTAATATAGTGCATCACATTGATTGAATTTCTTATGTTGGTTGATCCTTGCATTCCAGGAATAAATCCCACTTGGTCATAATGTATGACCTTTTTAATATGCTGCTGACTTTGTCTACTAGTATTTTGTTGAGAATTTTTGCATCAATGTTCATAAGGATATTGGTCTCTAGTTTTCTTTTCTTGTAGTGTCTTCTTCTGGTTTTGGTTATCATGGTAATGCTGGCTTCAAAGGATGAGTTAGGAAGTTTTAATCCTCTTCAATTTTTGGAAAAATTTGTTAAAAATTGGTATTAGTTCTTGTTCAGATGTTTAGTGGAATTCACCTGTGAGGTCCAGGACTTTTCTCTGTTCAGAGATTTTGATTACTGATTCGATCAATTAAAAAATCAGTTTTAAGAAAATAAAAAGGCAAATCACAGTGTAGGAGAAAATATTTCCTATATCTGACACAGGACTTGTATCCAGAATATATAAAGGCCAATCACAAGTCAAAAAAAAAGGTACAAACAG